GTTTCAAAACAATGTAATGAAAATCATGATTACTATAAACTCTTACGTACTCTTACACTAGGGAGACTATATGGTATTTATAGATGTGAGTTTGATTTATTTCGCTTATGAGTGTGGTCTCAAGTTGCACCCATTATTGACACAAGATCATCTTAGTCTATTTGATCTGCCATAGCAAAATACCCTAGATCGATGGCTTATAAACAGTATACGTTGCCTTTTCACCATCCAGAGCCTGGAAGTTCTAAGATAAGGATAATGGCACTTTTGTATTCAGACTTTAGTGGGGTCTTACTTTCTGGTTCATGGATAACAGCTTCTTTTGTTTTTGTATGTGATATAACAGCATCTCTCTGAAGTTACTTTTATAGACACAATGTCATTCAGGTGGCCACTACTTTCATGATCTAATCAGTTCCCAGATACCCTAATATTACTTTCATTTGTGTTAGGATTTCAGCATATGAATTTTAGAAAGATAGATACTAGCTATGCTCAGGCGAATGCAAACAAATATTTACAAATTAACTGATGTGTGTGTTACCTTTTCATTTCCTTTTCTGAGTAATTATGTGAAGCAGGACTTATTAGTCTGTGGTATAGATAAGAAAACAGATCATATAAAAGTATAACTGTACTACCTAAATTAACTGAGCTTTTGAGCAAGGAGACCAGCATTCAAACCCAGTTGTCTTAGATTACAAAGTTTATATTCTTTCTGTACATCATTGTATTTGCTCTTGAACATATGACTCTATATTTATATATCCAAAATATAATAGTGGAGGCAGTGGGAGTAAAACTATACCAGAGAAATCATAAACACAGAAAGGTATGAAGCAGACTCTGCCTTCACATGAAGGCTGTTGTGGTCTTCCTCAGTACTTCCATACTGGTTTACATTTTGTACCTCTCCATTTTACCTTAAGCCTGAGTCATTGGAAGCCAGTATCTATTTTTCTTCATCTTTACGTTGTCATATGTACTTATTAAATATCCTTGCTGAATTTGCCCAAATAAGGACAAGAATTACAGAAAATATTGTTAATGCAATATTCTTTCAAATATTAGATAGGCAAATGTCAGAGAAATATATATTTATATCTTCTTTCAAGTACTAAATAGGCACACGTTGGAGAAATACAGATCATAGTAGTGATTTCCATTCCTTTAAAATCTTAATGGAGCTCCCACTTACCTTGTGCTTGTCAAGATGTTTTTCCAAGGAAAAATCAACTTAAATGCCCTTAAGCTTTAGAAGTATATTTGTGTAACATTTGTATTCCAAAGTTTCTCAAAATGTTAGTTGTTACTGTCATCAGAAATCCACAACAGGTGTGCATTTTCTTTCCTAAGTAATGGACAAAGTAGATGTCATAGGGAACAGAGAAACAGAGAGATTCAGACTTTCTAGTTTACCAGATTCTTCCGGGGCTTTCTGGCATCATGTCATCTGTATGCCGTGTACCTTTGAACTGGTTTCTCTACTGGATACTGTTGGGACTAATCTTGAGCTCTTAGCATGTACTTGAAGTCTGCTTGCCTCTGTGCTATATGTGTGCTTTTGCCAAAAGCCTAGTGCTTTGGATTCTTTATAGTCTCCATAGAAATGGACATAGGCAACTTAACCCTCTCTAGCAGCCAAGAAATCTATAGAAAAACTTTTCCCTATTGCTTCCATACTATATCTGTGCAGTTCAAAATTCTGTTTAAAACACAGAAACTGTCATTTGGGGAGGAAACAGTTAATTTTTTTTTTATGTTTAGGGAGACCCCAAGGGACTGATCCGTCCCAGGAGAAAGCAGTAAACCTATGTAGATGAGCCAGCCTGCTATTCCTCCTTTAAAGTCTTTATGTTGCTGCTCAAAGATAGGACTGAGAACCATTTATCCATGAGCAAATGAACAAGCAGAAGGGCATTTGGTTTTATATGTAAGCCTTTGAGACCAACATTGTAGGACTCAACATCCCAAGATCTTCAAATTAAGGAACTATAAAGCAAAACATTTTTGTACTATCTGCTGAGTGGCTTCAAAGAAAATTAGCTCTCCTTACAACTCCATCAAAAGAGACATCAGTGGTTGGAGGCGCTCTAACAAAGCAAGTAGTAATAACTGATGGAGCCTGCAGCCTACAAATATGAATATGCTGCACTGGTTACTGATAACTATAATCAGCAATTTGGAACCATATCTTTTAAGTCTTTATACTACTTTTTAATCTTTAAAGGATAACAGATTAATTCCGTTACATTTTAAACTTTTTTTCCCTCCAATTCATGTAATACATACACCTATCATTTTGGAGTCAAAAAACAGGAGTGAGAAAGTTGGTACTGTCAAATAAGATTAAAGTTGAAAGGATAGGGGCGGTGTGAACACAACATTTTAAACTTTCATAGAGGACTAAATATTAGCTATGCAGTATAGTCGTACTCAGTTCTTCATTTTATTAAGCTTCATTCTGGGGATTTGTATGTGTCAAACAATGCTTTAAGATTAATTTATTTTATATATTATTATTATACTTATCTGTAATTGGTCTCCTTAATATGTTGGTTTAAATTTATTAAAAAATAAGATTTTTGTGGTACCGTCTTGGTCATGCAAAACTGTAATGCAAAATATGACAGTTGTTATTAATTAGATAGTTCAATCTAGTGTATTTTGACTGCCCCGATATTAGGAACAGTAAGGAAAACACTTGTTAGAGATTTGTCTTTTTCTGAAACCTTACTTTATGCTAACATCCTTGCTAGCCTTTCCCGGAAGAAAATAATGTAAGTTTAATATACTATCCCTACTCTGGATGTGGAGGTTTAATGGTATGAATTCTTCATAAAAGAGATTCGAGTGTTAGAGGACAATTTTATACTCTTATTCTTGAAGCTTTGGCAGTCTTCAGAGCAGCCAAATGGGAGCTGTCTCCTTGAAAAGAAAAGGAAATGTCCAAGAGGCAATAAGTGAGACAATGAAGGCAAGTCCCTTTAGGAGGTTTTTCTTGTTTCAAAGATTATCATTACTACCCTGATCCATCCTCTCAAAATTTTCTGCCTTTACAGAGTATGAGATGTCTTAGACATCCCAGAATTTTCTCTCTCCTTGTCATGTCTGAAGCAGCTTATAACTGCATTGTCTTTCCATCACGAAAACAGGTTTTAGTCAGTGTACTGGACAGATCCTCCTAAAAGCTTAGAATGATAAGACATGGGCTTACTTTGAAGAATGTGTTCTAATTCTTCTGTTAAAATTCACATCTGGTCATTTTCTACTATACATTATTTTAAAGGAACATTTGAAAGATTATTTGTAAAGCTACATTAAGATTAAAAGTAATTTTCGCCTCATAATCTCCTTGCCTGTCAAAGAATGGTCTTTTTTTTTAAGAGAATAAATCCAAATGAAATAAAACAGAATAGTCAATCAAAACAACAAAATACAAGGAAATCAATAATGGCTACCATAATGCCTCGATGTCTTCAGAAGAATTGCCCATACCATCAGGCATAGTAAAATCAAACAAAATAGTACAGAATAAAACCAATAAAATAAAATAATGGAAATAGTACAGGACTTCAAAACAGGAGAATAGTCTTATACTACTGCTGTTTCCCCAATTCTTCCTTCCTTTTCGCCTTGCCTCCTTCCCTTTTTCCTGCTGTTTTTTTTTTTTTTTCTTCTTCTTCTTTTGCTGTATTTTACTATAGTTGGTCTCTCTCTCTTTATGGTTTCTGATTTTATCTTTTAGTGTCAGATTTTCTGGAACTGACTAAAACTTTGATGTTCAAATGTCTTTTTATTCAGGTAGGTATTTTCATAGACGGTAGAGTTAAATGCTGTTACCATGGACACTAATAAAAAGAGTTAACCTTCTGCATATATTTTCTTTATGGAAGGTGCTGTGCTGTCTTTTCAGTGTTTACATGGTTCATTTTCATATATACCACAAGAATCTTATGAGGACAGTATTTTTAAATTAGGATTAAGTACTTGCCCAGTCTTTTTCTTTATTTGAGTTGATGTCCAAGCCCAGAAATTGTTGCCAAGTCCCACACTATTTAATTTTATTTACTTACCCCTGTTCTTAACTATAAGAAAGACTTCCAATACTGGCTGTGATTTTTGTCTGCCTTTTTATTTTCAGTTAATTGATCTGACATTTTTCAGTTTTATGTGAAATTGTTTTAAAGAATATTGTGATGGTTATATCTTGACTCATTGAGATGGTTATCTTTGATGTACAGATGTGCATAATTATTTTGGCTTTATTTATAGAAAAGAGGGGTATGTACTTTGATGTCTCATGTGGCAATGCGAGTAACAGGACAAATATGTTACAACCTCCAAAGTAGTGCCGTTATTTTCACTCATGGCCACGGCTGTATTGCTTTGGGTACATTACTAACTTCAGTGTGGCTCTATTTAGATATCTCGAATTGAAATTTCAAATACAGTACTTTTACAGTGTGCAAACAACAGAAATGGTAATAACTCTGGCAATTTGTATAAACACTATTGACCATCCAGTTTAAATGGATATATTTGCAAATACAGAAAATTTGTTTAAAAATGTACTCAATATGTAAAAGAAGTTTAACACCTGTTCTTAATAACTACTCAAATTTGAATGAAAGATAGATTACATCAAACAGGGAGACAGACTTTGTGGAAACAGGGAGGAGATCTGGGAATGTTATGAAACAGGGAAGGAGGAAAAGGAAATAAAAGGGTAAAGTTGCCAGGTGGGTGTCTTCCAGTTCCCCAGGATTAATGTTATTGTATAACAAACATATACTAATAAAAATGTTTAATGGTAGGATTTCTGCTTATAATAAAATTTTAAAATTCTAGAAAATATTCTTTTATATTACAATAAATTATTTAAAATTTTGACCTGATTCTAACAAAACAATTTGCAGTAAATTGTATTTATCACCTAGGTAAAAGTTTTATGAATCAAACTACTTAGAGGTGCCTTTTTATACGTAAGAGTATTTCAGATACTTGTGTTCATAAGCATGATGATTCGGTGTCCATCCCATTGTGTGATGTGGTTTCCCTCAAACCTTGTTAGCACTTCGGCACATACAATAAGTCTGGTGTGGTGTGGGGGAGTGGAGTTTAAAATCTTGGTTTGTTGCAGAAATCCAACCTTTTGTTCTTTTCAATAATTATGTAAAACCAGTTGAATGCATACAAGAATATCAGTCACAAAATTGCTTGTAATACTAAGACTGGAAATAACCATAAGGTCCGACATCAGAAAAGTGGTTAAATAAATGATGATAGAGCTTTTGGAATTCTTAGTCTTAACAAGAACTGTGCTTCTCCATGGCTGGATAAAAAAGTTTAAGTCATTACATAAAAGAATAAAGTATAGAATAATTTGAATATCCCTCTTATTTTAAATGAAAAAAATATATATATACACACTTTATACATAAATGTACAGATACTTGTATAAATTCTGGGTTTACAGTGTACTGTGTGTAAGTCCCTATGACCATGACATGAGCATTCACCCTTTATGAGCTCATTTGTTTTCATTACTGCCACTACCATTTTTGTATTAATCACTCTCAAATCTGTATCTTCATTTACAAAGACCTGTTAAAATCAGAAACTTGAATTTACCAAAATAAGTTCCTCCGTAGTTTACAGTTTAGATCAGACTATATGCTATGTCACAACCATCCATGGTTCCATAAAAAATTTAATATTTGTCACATATACATATATATATATATCATTATTATGTAATCTTTGATATACTTGAGTCTTAAAATAACATAGAAGTGTTGGACATTTTAAATATCAATGTTTGCTTAGAATTTTCCAGGAAGCTGTCTGGATTGCTCCTATTAATCAGGAATGCCATATGTAAAACTATTTGTACAGTGCTTAAGATTGCTTTCCAAATGCCTTAAGTGTTTTAATTTATATTTGTGTGATTAAAAATCATACCAGCAGTTCTTTTATTAAACCTAATTCCCAATTTTAAGAGGTTATTATATTATTCAAGGTTTTCCTTTCCTTTTAAAGATAGCACTGTTTATTTGTGTTAGGGAGATATTGTATCTTGGTATACTCTGTGAGTCCTGATGATGTAGCTTTGTTACATGCACATTCCCTCTGCTTTTTTGGCTTTCAGAAAGGCTTATTGTGCTTATCTCCATCAGGAACAAGATGATGACTCATACAAAGATACCAGCAGGTACAGGCAAAGGATACAGGTTTCTTTATGTAGGTCAAGGATACCTGCATAACAAAAGCTTTACAGAGCATGGGCACAGCTGCACATTCACAACTGCAGGTTGTATTGCTTGACACTGGAGATCTTCAGGCCTTTCATTACACTCATTACATACCCTGAAGTGCCTTTATTTCCTCTTGGTCCCTCTGAATGAATTAGTATAGGGGATCCATTTACTTTCTCACCAAAAATGACCTCTTGAATTCAAATTTGGTTTTCTCTGCAAGTCTCTTCAGGACTGCAGAAGATAACCTTGAAGTCCCGTACCACCCAATATCAGGTGTTTGAGTCAAAAATTAAAGCTTTTATTTAGACAAATATTTGTGATCAGTGTTTTATCATTTTAATCTTATAATGGCTAAATTATGAAAATAATTTATAGCTGAGTTGTTTAAAACATAACAAACTAAAAAGTATATAAGCTTATTTATAATTTTTAAAGACTTATTTGCATGTCCATAATTAGATCTTTGTATGTCCTGGTATAAAATTAGTACTGCATTTGGAGTTACATATCATTGTTGATTATTTTAACAACTTTATAATACATTGATGATAATTTGATGTAGAAGATGTCATTTTGAAAGAGATTCATTGTATAGGAAATGAAAAAAAAACTTTAAAAATAATTTAGCTATTTTGTATATAAAAGCAATAGTCAAGTAATAAAAAGGAAATAGATCCTCTTGGGCCCCCAATATAAAACTCTATGAAATCATTTTACAAGAATATATAGAACACTTAATAGAAAAGAAGTTTAAGACTTCACCAAAAAGTATTACAACTAATTTCAATAGAGATTTTCCTTTTTACTGAGAAAAAGTATGTTGACATTTTGATTTCCCTTTTGTTCTAATAGAAATTACATTTTCTAAAACTACAATAACTAAAGCAATATAACATAGTTCAAAAAATAGACCTTTATAGCATAAAGTTTAAAACCCAGCCCAAATTTATATAATTTTATAAATATATTTTACTTTTTAATCCAGTGATATTATAATAAATAAATAATGAGGTAAAACTGCCAGTTTATATCATGATTAAATTTCATAGTTTGAAATTTTAAATTAAAAATGTTAAGATGTGAGTTAATATTCATATAGTTTCTGATTAAGAAATATTTTAAATAGGATGTCAAAATTAACCTATGTTAGGTAGATTGAATTGGCTACATATTTAACTACATATTTTAAAAATTCATAAACAGTAATTAAATAGAAAATAATGGATTAATTTAGAAGTTATATGCACTTTATTGAATTATGTGGTGTTGCTCATAAATCTAGAACATAGGTTGAATTTACTATGAAGTGTTTAATTTTTCTGATCATGAATGTGTGCTTTATTCCTGATGTGAATTTTGCATTATTGCATATCATAAAGTGGCTGTAATCCATGTATTGTTGTCAAGCAGCTTGAACCACTGGTGGTGCATGCATGGCTATTCAATTGGGCAGCTCTTTTATTATAATTTTATTAGTAAAAGACTAGTAAAAGTGACTAGATCCATTTGTACCAACAGTGGTACAAGCTGTCCAATAAGTTAGTCATGCGTGTACCCACAAGTTATTCAAGCTAGAATGAATATGTTAAGGAATTTAAACAGTTTATACATTCAGTTTTAATGTTTTTGAGTTTTAATATATTTTAAAACACAAATGCTAGTAATTTTTGATAATCCTCTGTCTTTGTTACTTGTTACTCATTGCTGAGACAAAATACCTGAAGCCCAAAGTTGGGGAAGGAAAGGTTTATTTCTTACAGTTTTTGGAGGTTTCAGTCCACACTCAGTTGGCTCTAAGGCAGGCTGGCATGGCTGGGCCGCAGTTCATGTCGGCTGCAAACAGCAAGCAGGAACCAGCAAAGAGCAAGACATACCTTCTTCCTGCCATTACATCACATCCTGGCTCCACCCCTTGTGAATGGAGCACTGACACCATCAATCCAAGCACTAGACAATGAAGCATCACAAATGCACAATGCAAACTTATGAGGCCTGGGGGCCACAGACATAAACCATGACATCCTCCAAGTCACAATTGTAAACCTAGATACCAGCAGACCATGGAAGGTATATAGCTGATAAGAGTACAGGGCAGGGAAGAAAAGGGTATACGTTAAAGAATATAATCGTTGAAGTATTTGTTATCTGTAACTCATTAGAATATAAATTCCAGGGCTGGGGGTTTAGCTTAGTGGCGTAAGCTCCTGCCTTGCAAGCAGGCAGTCGTGAGTTCGATCCCTGGTACCGATAAAAATGAAAAAGACCAAAAAAAAAAAAAAAAAAGAATATAAATTCCAATATGATAGACTGGTGACATTCTGTCTGCCACATATAAGTACTTAATAACTTTTAATGTGAACCAATGAGTTTTTTTTTCTTTTTTACTGTATTGATATTATGTTTCTGTTTATACTCTTTTCAATACTTAAAATTATTTGCTTAGAATAAATTTCTAGAAATTGTCTTACTGGATGAAAAGACAACAACATATATTTTGGCTCCTGATACAAATTTCTAATAGCATTCATTTAATAGCAAATGCAAAGTTAACATCAGTTATTTCTTTGGTATATGAATTACATTGTTTTCATAGCCAGGAAGTCCTAGTATAGTGCTCTCTAGATATTTCATTCATTTGAAAATTTATACTGGAAGTCTGAATCCTGATAAATAATGCATTTTTTACAAGTGCAGAAAGTTAGTACATTTTGGTTCAAGGAAATTGACTGCAAAAGTAATGTGTTCTTTTATTACTTAATGCTGAGAAAATAGGGAGATAATGACTGGAATTAATTATCATAAGTGCTTAAACATGCCAGTTAAGTGTGAAACAAGGAAATGTCTAGATAAATATTGAAGACAGGCCTGTTATTTCCTCTTCTCTTTGCTTTTTTTTTTTTTTTTGAGATGGCTCAGATTGTATTCTAGAATTTGTATTTTCGTACTGTATCTTTTTAAATTTTTAACTTTTAATAGGAGAAATTATCAAAGTGGTGCTACACAATTTATCCTGGAATATTGGGATGTTTAAGAATTATTAAATGATGCTATGTTTATAATTATACATCCTTCTAAATTGCATTGTTCACTGTCAATAAAACCATCATCTCCTTGCTCATTACAATCAGAATCTTCTGGTATCTTGTAGCTCAGCTTCTTCTTGGCTGAAAGTACCTTCCTCATTTCACACAAACTGGCCATTAGTGTTCCTTGTCCTCAACACTCAAGTCCCAGACCTTCTAATTAGCTGTATTCATAACAGATGACCTATAGGTCCAAATAATAATTTTCCATGTATTGTCTAAAAGGCCCTGACTTACTGGATATACCAGTTTTGAAGAAGGATATCTCAGACTTCTTTCCAGCGTCTAGATTTTTGATATATTTCTTTATATTTTAACAAATATTTTGTATGCTAGTATATGATTGCTTATGTTGAAATACATTGATCAGATACCTTACCTGATTTAGTATATCTGCTACTTATTACCTTTCCCAACAGTATTCATTCTTCAGTTTTAAATAACTCTAATGGTTGAAAAGTAACCATGGTCTTGAAGTTGTAAACTTCCTTTCCCAGTATAGTAGAGTGTGCTTACAGAAACCCAGATAATATGGACTGAAACCAGCATATATGCAATCCAATGTTGATCAAAATGGTATGTTCTCCATATCTTGTATACACACACAAACAAATATGTGTGTCCCCTATGTACCATATAGATGATATTGCATAATGTATCATTAATATGTAGAATATGTATTTTCTTTGTCGCATATATATGTATCTATGATATATATGATTTATATATATATGTATATATATATATATATATATCCTA